TCACAATTTAAGCCTAAAAAATATTATAAAATGAGATAGAGGAAATATTAAGTATCTTGCTGGTCAACCTATAATTTGCATACCTAAATTCTTATTATTGCTTTGATTGAAAAATTAATTTGTTGGTTTTATTTTTCATATTTTTACTGGGAAAATATGAATTTGCTTAAATTAGTTGAATGATAAAAAGATGAATCAATTATTTTTCTATCGAAAAAATTAATGACTCTGGAGTTCTTTTTTTTTTTTTATGATGCTCGTGTGGCAAGTGAGAAAAATATAATATACATTATAGAGTACATTTGAAGAACATATATAAAAGCAACAGAATTTTGATAATGATTATGACTATGATTATGATATCATAAGATTGGTAAAACTTAGAGAGGAAAACCACAATGGAGTGCACGAAATGTCTTTTAAGAGAAAGTGAGGAACAACAATTAATGAACCACCAAAATTAGTTAACGTGTTTATCATAACAACTAAGATTATTGGGTTGGTTTAGTGGTTACTCCAAAAAAAAAAAATGAACAAGACAAAAAATATTATTTTTTTACTTAAGAGATTTATTATCTTCTTCATTATCATCATTATCATTACCATTATTCCTAGTCAAAAAGATATATAGTGGAGATTATGAATGGTATCTTGGAAGATCTTAATTTAATTCTAGTAATTCATTTGAAGCTATCAACCTCATTACTAAAAAAATTGCCTTTGCTCAAACTTTGAGAAATCTTGTTGGAGGCATCATAGACTTATTTACTAATACTACCGAGGTCATGTTTATCTCTGGCCATTAAGGCAATCACCTTAGGCCTCACAAAAAATTATTTATTATACAGGGAATCTATTGATCTTTTCTAATAGAAATTAATTAATATTATGATCTTAATTATAGTATGATATACTAGGACTATATGATATATTATTTGTTGTTTCTATTAGTGAAATCTTATCACTCATTTATTAGAAAGCTAGAGAGAAAAAATGGCCTTGCATATGCTTTGAAATTTAAAAAAAGATTGAAATGAATGTAATTAAACTAGCCATAATGATAATTGTATAATTCATAAATTATATTCCCTCCGTTCAAAAATATAAAGCATTTTTAAAAAATTAGATATTAAAAAATAAAAGATATTTTTAGTCATTTGAGGTGTAATTATTGCATTTTTTTCAAAAGTACTCCTATTGATAATGACTTTATTTTTATCGTAAGGTATTTAATAAGGGTAAATATGAAAAGATAGAATTAGTTTAAAAGTAAATAACTACTTTATTAGGGATAAGATTTGGTTAAAAATATTTTACATTTTTTAATAGAAGGAGTAGCACATTAACCCTCTATAATAATTTCGTATTAGGTCTCCAAACTTCTTCACATGGCCTTAAGTCTATGCTTAGTAGGCAAGAAGAAAAACGGGGGAGAATAGTGAGAGGAAACTAATTTAACTCAGCTTGGCTAAAAAAAGGGAAAAAAAATAGGAGGAAGTGAAAATTGGAAAGAAAATAACATACAAGACTAATATATTTTTCCTACAACTTTTTTCCATGTCACTTCCCCAAATTCTTTCCTTTAAAAATTAAGAAATTTTAAAGAAAAAACTTCATTTTCAAATTTACCTACAAATGGTTTTCGTTTCCTGCTCCCTACCTCCCCATTTTCTTATATTTGGTTTTAATTTAAAATTTTTAGAATATTGTATGTTTGATAATTTTAGAAATAAAATTGAAAATTGGACAAAATAATTTTCAATTATCTTTTCATTCAATTAGTAATATATAATGAAAAATAAATAAATAATATGTTAAAACATTAAGTTTAATCATATATAAATATTTTTATACAAATAATAAGATTATTATTGTTCATATAAAATTAATAATTTTTTATTTTTCTTGTTTTCTCTTGTTCAATCAACCATTGTGAGGAAAAACTGTATGTCTTTACTTTTTCTTTCTTTATATTTTTTCTTCCCCTATTTTCTCTCGTTTTTTTCTTGTAAACCAAACACTGCGTGAAGATTAGGGTATTATCATGGACCATGTGTTCGAAAAGCCAATGAATATGTTAATTAGCAACTTAGTTTGCAAAATCCAATTTATAATAATCAATAAGTAAATTCCACCTATTAGTTGGCAAAAATGGCTCATGATATAGAGTCCGTTTAGTTTTTCTCTGTTTCACGTTCAAAAAGTAAAATTTTACTTTTAAAAAGTTAAAAGTTATTTGGATAGAACATTTTACAGGAAAGCACATCCTGAAAGTGCATTTAAATAGTAGCTGAAAGTGAATTTCTAAAACGTAACTATTTGAAACTTTTGAAAAGTGAATTTCAAAAGTAGAATGTTATTTGATCATACTACTCTAAGTTTAATCTCTTATTCTTTTATTTTAAAAATAATTAATTCATTAAAAATATAATTATTATTTTAATAATAATAATTAGGTATCAATTTTTTTAGTATTATAAATTGAGTAATTAATCATGTTAATTTTTAGCATTAATGTATAATAAAAATTACAAATCTTTATTACATCTTTTAAAATTACAAATTAAAAAATAAAATAACTAGAGAACAAATTTTTAGCATTATAGATCAAAATTTATATTATTAAAAATCTTTATTATATTTTTTAAATATTTTAAATATATTATATTTGTATAATAAAAATTATAAATCATTATCTTTTTTGATAATTGTACATTCAAAAGCACATTTTACTATCATAAATTAAATAACTTTTAATGTATTAAATTAATTTTTAAAAAATATATATTTAAATATAAATTTTATTATAATAATTAACTTTTATCAAATAAATTTTTATTAAATAAATTTGTGACAAATTAAAAACCAAACGTATGCATAATTGCCAAGGAAATTATCATCAATCATCCTCTCTCTTTCACGATATGAAATGACGCAAGGCTTTGACGTTGGCGGCGGCGGCTGATGATGATACCAACAAAGATCGAGGTCAATAAAAGGAGTTAATTTTTTATAACATCATAAATTAATATTCAATTTAATATATGATAATGCCGCAAAACTAATTCCAACAAGAGAATATTTGTGGGTGATTAAAAAAAAAAATCAACTTATGACAAAACGACAGTGTTGTTGACATTTTTATTTATGGACCATGTTTTTAAGAAAATCAATGAATGCTAATTTAACTCACAAAATGACATTTTATATTTCATTAATCTCTCATAACAAATAATAATGTAAATTTAAAAAGATGATACATATTTTTTTTATTATTATCAATGACATATTAATAAAAAACTCGAATGCAATAGATTAAATTAACCCAAAGAAAAACTTTTCAATAGATCAAAACGAATTATTTTATTTATAGTAGACTAAATAAAAAAAATTAAATTTAACAAAGTTTATTCATGCATATGCATTTAGTAAAAATGAGATTCAAATTCTTCAAGGACATGAATTCTAATCTACTATTGATATGAGGATCTCATTAATTTGCAGCTACTTTTTTCGGACTATAATATAAGGCATTTTTTTAAAATTTTACTTAATTTAAAATATAGTAGGAAATTAGGTAGGTGTTATACATTGTTTTTCAATTATCCCTTTATTTTATTCAATAATTAATGAGAGTGTTTTGAAAAAGTCAAATGTTATATTTATTATACTCAACAGCACAATTAAAAAGATGTAAAATTTTAAAAAAATTAACATTTTAACCAATTTTTTTAAGAAACATAAATTAATGAAGAGTAACTTATATTGTAATGTAAAAAGAATACTTTATAAATATGTTTTGAATTGTAAGACAGCCACAAATCAGAAGGAATCTACTAAACAACTAACATAGATTTTTGGTGCTTAAAACAAAAAGGCTTTTTTTTTTTTGTAATTGACAAAAGTAACCACAATGAAGGATTAAGCACTGAGGTATAGTCATGTTTTTAATTAAATATTAAATGTCACCGTCGCGTATCTATACCTTCATTGGAATAAAATAGCACCGTAAGTGCCTTCCAATGTTGCTTCTCCATTATCATGAGGTGTCCAAAGCATCCACTTCTCGCCCTTGAATTGTCTGAATGGCCATTCACAATCTTCATTATCATTTTGTCACTAACCATTAAAACCCACTATCCTCCTTCACTTTTTCCCCCCTTCCAGGAGCACCAAAGACTAATCTTATTTTAAATATGAAGCACGAAAGTCAAGCTCCTCCCATTTAAATTTAGGTTAAGGTGGAAATCTATTCATAAAATATTTTGCGATGAACTACTGATATTCTTAATTCAAATGGTATAATTTTACCCATGAACTTTAAAAACAATGCAAAAATCCTCAACCCGTGATGGAAGCCAACGTATGTTAAGTAAGAATTGTGGATCACACCTATTATGCCATGTATAAATGGGTTAGGGGGTAAAAACATACATAAAGTAATACAAAATCTCCATCCCATGACAAGGTTGCACATTAGCAAACGTTGACATTGAATTGTTAGAAAAATTGATTTTTTATGTGTCTCGAAGTGTAGACATGGAAATACATATGTTCAAATTAGGTTTTAATTAACAAAAATTATCCCTAGGCACATTTTTTCTTATCATGCATCACATCCATTTTTTATAATTCACCGTCTTATAAAAGATTAATTTTTTTTACTAAATTCAATCTTCATTAATTGTAGCTGAACAAGATGATAGCGATGGCGATGTTCTTATTCTACAAACTGTTGAGCTTAGTAGGCATTACCTGGCAAGAAAAAGAATAAAGATGCAAAACAATTGCTTGATATGCGGAAATTTGGACAATAATACACCTTGATATTCGTTTTCTTGATTGATAACAAATCATACAACAATGATGCCTTCTCTCACCTGTCTTCAACCTATTACCTACCTAGGAGAACACACCTTTTGTCCTTTATAATATTAAAAATACTCTCCACAGAAAAATAATCTTTCTCGAGATACTGAGAATACTAGACTTCTCATCAATTTTCAAAAGAAACATCAATACCGTTTCTCTTATAAATATATATATATATATATTGTTTTTCTATAAAGTGAATAATCTTTCTCTGCCGTTTGGTAGAAGCCCAGTGTAAGGGATGAAAACTGACACTCAAAAGGAATAATACAAAGATAGATGGTCACAGTTTAGATGATTATAGCTGTGACACAACAGACATTACAAATATTCCCCCCCCCCCCCTTTTTGTATGAAAAAAGAATCTTTTTTTCCCCCCCTCATGATGCCATGGACAAAGATTGAAGTCACGTCATGTAAACTGTCTAGCTCGTCAACGCTATCAAATGCCAAGTCATTATTGAACTGGGCAAACAATAAGAAATCCTGTTTTCCATCAGAGTGAAATTCCAACCCTTTTTCTTCATCTCCATTAAATGAAGCTTGGTCGTGATGAACTGAGTCTGAGAACTTAATAACCCTGAAAAATGAAATATATAGGCCAACTGAGAGCACTTGAATATCATCAAAGCAAGTAATTAACAGTCTCATTCAATATAAAATCAAAGGAAAATTACATACAGGTCTCACACACAAAAAAATTAATTACTGTAAGATTCATTAACAATTGAGTGAAGGCCATTTAATTCTCCCTAAGATCAAAGTATGCAAACATGACATCAAATACAGAGTCATATGGTCAATTTTGGTATCCACGCATCTATGACAAATTGATCTTATCAACAGAAGAAAAGTAGACAAATGATTTGGGCAGGAAAACTTTACCGCTATGATGCAAGCTTGCCAGCAAGGATTCCACCAAATATAATGGCTCCAAACCACTTATTTGAGACAAATCTAGAAGAACAATTTATTAGTGCCTAGATTGATTTCATGCGCATAAGCAAGAAACAGGAACAAAATTAAGTGTAAAATAATTAGCAGCATCCTACGACGGGAGTTCAAGTCTCTGGGCATTGAATGCTCAATACACTACTACTGCCAACGACATTTTGTCACATAATCTAGTTAAGTTCTAAATTTTAGGTGACATCAAGTACAAAGGCATTAGAATTATAATAATTATTTTGCAGCGACAGATAAATGGCAAGTTGCATCTAATCAATTAATTAACATACTCAATATATATATATATATTGCAGAGAAGTTATCTCTGAAATTTCCAGAGGTTTTATGTCTATGCATAGAATTGATAGTGACTGGTAAGGATTCCCTCTGCCACAAAATCCAGGTAGCAAACACTGATCTTTTTATAAAGTCATACAGAAAACTTCAAGATAAATTTATTTAATATATAAGAGCATATAAAAATCCCACAATTTCTTTCCCATGATATAATAAACTAGCACAACAACAACACCCATTAAGTAAGGGCAGCTACGTGGATTATATGATATTATTTTGCTTCATCATTAGTCAAACTCTTGGGAAAAGTAAACCAGGAAATCTCATTCAACATAAAAAAAAAAAACTCTAACAAGCCACATTATTCATGAGTCATGGATACTACGGTCCAATTTCTAAACTCTGTGCAACATATAGGACCAACACTAGCATTTCTAAAGCTCCAATAGAGGTTCCTTGCCAATAACTTGCCAAGGAACAGTAAAGACCCCCAGTAGATCTCACCAAATGTTGGACTTTTGGATCAGAAAATAACAAAAGTATGCATTGCTCCCGTTATGGCACAAAAAATAGGCAATATCCCCCGAAAACATACTTATTGTTGCAAACAGAACGTGATGAAAGGTCAACTGTCCAAATTTGCCAGGCTAGGTGTCCGGATGCAGCTCCCAGAAATGGATAATAAGGCCAGCCTGTGCAAATATTGAAATCAAGCGGCAGAAAACAGTTATCACAATCCAATTGCTAACAGGCATAGCCTTAAAAAATGGAGAACAAAACTGAAGTTATATGGCATACCAATCTCAGCATTAAATCCACTCAAGGCAAGACTACCAATGCATGCGATGCCAAACCCAGAAACCCACTGCTTTGTTGACTCACCAAAGAGCAAAGCTGTTGATTTAACTCCCACTTTCACATCATCTTCTTTATCCTGATTGCCAATATGTTTTATAGACAGCATAAGCAACTCAATTACATGGCTTCAGTAAAAACATTCAAGAGAAGAACCTCAACAAGTGTTATATTTATCCCCATGAAGATGATCCAAAGTATTTAGGATTTAAGCTTCTTGTAGTCATTGTATTCTCTGTTTTATAATACCCAAATCAGACAAGAAAGTTATAAGAACTTGGTGGATAACTGTGGTTAGACCTAGTATTTATTATATTCAATGTAAATATTTGTTATTATTTTGTGGGATACTGGGTAGTTAAGAGTAGGAGGTTTTTTACGAGATTATTTCCTATTTCTCCTCCTCTGAATCAATCTCCATTATTCTCGAAGATATGATTGTTTTCTCTCTTGTATATATTCTCGTGCATACCTTAGATGTATATACAAGAGTTTCTCGGCTCATTCACTACATGGTATCAGAGCACCGTGACTTCCCAGTGCTGTCCAACGCCGAGAACTTTGAGACAGAAAGTACCGAGCACGAGTCGAACCCAGTTCACAGTTCTCCCATGTCGAACAGTGATGGGTCCTCGAAGACTGATCCGAGCAGGGCAGGTGGTCCCTTCAGGTCGACTACCAGCCACGAAGGATCATCGGTACACGTTATATCAGTGAAACTAAACGGTACAAACTACCGTATGTGGGCACAAGCTATGAAACTCGCGATCGGAGGCCGAGGAAAAATGGGCTATCTTGATGGCTCATCGAAGATCCCAGAAGACCCCAAGATGCAAGAGTTCCAGCAATGGCACACCGAAAATTCACTGGTATCATCATGGTTAATAAATGCCATGATTCCAGAAATTCAACAAAGCTTTATGTTTCTCCCCTCAGCCCATGAAATCTGGAAGGCAATACGAGATTCATACTCTGATGGGAAGGACTTAGCTCGGATATATGAGCTCAAAACGAAGGCATGGACACTGCAACAAGGAGAACGTGATGTCACTGCCTTCTGGTTAGAACTGAATGCTATATGGCAGGAACTAGACTTAATGACAGATGTGGAATGGTCTAGCAGTAGTGATGCAATTCTCACAGCTACATACTTAATCAACAGCATGCCAAGTCGTGTTCTCTCTTATATTTCACCGCTTGAAAAATTACAAGAATGTCACTCTGTCACTCACCTCACCACTAATCTTCCCCTCAAAATCTTTGGCTGTACCACCTATGTTCATTCTCATCATTCCCATAAATTGGAACCCAAAGCTGTCAAATGTCTCTTTCTTGGTTACTCTTCCACACAAAAGGGGTATAAATGTTTTGACCCAACTACCAAACAACTTTACATCAGCCGGGATGTTACCTTTGCTGAAAATGAACCTTTTTATCCAAATGCCTCAATTCAGGGGGAGAGAGGGAGTGATCTTCAGCCTTTGGAAAGTGAGAAATACTCAATCCACGATCCTTTGTTCACGAGCTCAGATCCTTTGTTACCTATACCAGAAAATTCTCGGGTTCTTAGGCCAGAAACTGAAGTGAAAAGTCTTTCAAAATATAATAAAGATGCTGGTATTGCACTGGACAAGACACCAATAACCTACTCAAGGAAGAAATGGAAAAAGAGGGAGACTATTATGACTGACGCACAACCAGAATCTGAACTGAAAGAGGTTCCTGAAGCGGAGAACGTAGAAGGTGCTGTGTTTCCTCAAGAATCCGAGGAAGACGCAGTGACCGAAAGGGAGGAAGTGGATGAGTTAGACCTACCTATAGCTCTCAGAAAGCAACCGAGGGCCTACACACAACATCCTATTCAGAGGTTTGTGAGTTACCATACATTATCCTCACAATTTCGTGCATTTATAACTGATCTTGACAAGGTAAAGATTCCTAATGATGTGCATGAAGCACTGAGTGTGCCTGAATGGAAGAAGGCTGTAATGGAGGAAGTAAATGCCTTAGAAAAGAATGACACATGGGAGATAGTAGATCTTCCAAAAGGAAAGAAAATTGTGAGCTGTAAGTGAGTATTTACCCCTAAATATGATGCTAATGGAAAATTAGACAGATTGAAAGCAAGGTTGGTGGCAAGGGGGTTTACTCAAACATATGGCTTGGATTACAAAGAAACATTTGCACCTGTGGCCAAGCTTAACACTATCAGAATCTTGATTTCTGTAGCTGCAAACTTGGACTGGCCCCTACATCAACTAGACATAAAGAATGCCTTCTTAAATGGTAACCTAAAAGAAGAAGTTTTCATGACTTTACCCCCAGGTTTTGAGGAAGGGAGAACCAATCAAGTGTGTAAGCTGAAAAAATCTTTGTATGGGTTAAAGCAATCACCTCGAGCTTGGTTTGACAGATTCTCAACAGTTTTGAGAGCTGAAGGGTATAAGCAGGGGTTGGCTGATCACACTATGTTTGTGAAGAGGAAAAATGGAAAAAGATGCATCCTCATTATATATGTTGATGATATAATTGTCACAGGTGATCATAAGGAGGAGGTGGATAGAATAAAGAGGGCTCTGGGAAAGGAGTTTGAAGTGAAAGACTTAGGCAACTTGAAGTATTTTCTAGGTATGGAGGTTGCAAGGTCACAGCAAGGGATTTATGTGTCCCAAAGAAAATATATTATTGATTTACTTGCCGAAACTGGCATGTTGGGATGCAGACCTGTAGACACACCCATTATTGTTAAGAAAAAAAAGGAGAAACTGAAGGAAAATCAGGAAGGTGAGGCAAATGGAGTTGAATCCAAGAAAGATGGTTGTGGGGAGGAAGAAGAAGGAGAAGAAGAAGAAGAAAAGAATGAGCCAGTAGACAAAGAAAAATACCAAAGATTAGTTGGTAAACTAATTTATCTCTCTCACACTAGACCAGACATAGCTTTCGCAGTAAGCGTTGCAAGCCAGTATATGTGCGACCCTAGAGAGAGACATATGGAAGCTGCATACAGAATCTTGAGGTACTTAAAGGGCACACCTGGTAAAGGATTGCTGTTTAAGAAACAAAACCTAAGATCTATAGAAATATATACAGATGCAGATTGGGGAGGAACATACAAGGATAAGAGGTCAACATCAGGTTACTGTTCCTTCGTATGGGGAAATTTAGTCTCTTGGAAGAGTCAGAAGCAAAGAGTGGTCTCAAGAAGTAGTGCAGAATCAGAACTAAGGGCTCTAGCTCAAGGCATCTCAGAGGTACTATGGGTAAAAAGAGTCATGGATGAGATACATGTCAGAATTGATTCCCCATTGAAGCTTTATTGTGATAATAAAGCTGCAATAAGTATGGCTCTAAATCCAGTTCAGCATGAAAGATCCAAACATGCGGAGATTGACAGACATTTTATAAGGGAAAAGGTTGAAGAAGGTGTCGTCTATCTCATTTATCTGCCAACAAGACTCCAAGCTGCTAATGTGCTCACCAAAGGATTACAAAGAACAGCATTTGATAGTTGTATAAGCAAGTTGGACATGATTAATATCTATGATCCAACTTGAGGGGGAGTGTGGTTAGACCTAGTATTTATTATATTCAATGTAAATATTTGTTATTATTTTGTGGGATACTTGGTAGTTAAGAGTAGGAGGTTTTTTACGAGATTATTTCCTATTTCTCCTCCTCTGAATCAATCTCCATTATTCTCGGAGATATGATTGTTTTCTCTCCTGTATATATTCTCGTGCATACCTTAGATGTATATACAAGAATTTCTCGGCTCATTCACTACAATAACTATATCTTGACATTTAAAAACAGCATGGCTAAAGGAGCAAATGATACTCTGCCCCTTAGCAAGCAGGTGCTCGAAACCTAAACCATAATAATTAAATTGCCATTGAAACACCATTTCAAACTCAAGTATCGAGGGGAAAAGAGGTCCCTGAACAGAAAAAATTTGAATTCCAAATAGTGACCTCTAGAAAGAGCAAGGAATTCTAAAAAAGTGATAGAACCAGCCCAAACAAGAAGAAATGATAATGGAAAAATTCTGTGATTCTCTATTATCAAGGGAAAACTATAAAGATTACACCAATATCAACTTACTTCCTGATGGAACAATAACACAAGTATCACCCACACTCTACCTGGTTTTTGAGAGACCAGGACCTCTCCACTCTCAAAATAAATCTTCCTTACCTATTTTTCCTACCCTCACCCTTATATACGCACTACCATTACTCTGACATTGTCAGGACAAACGTTACCCTGTATTGTGACCATGTTGCCCCTGCTCAACTCGCTGGTTGTCTTGGGCTTTACTTTCTCTGGACTTTCTTTTATAAACCTGACCCCATCTCCTAGCTTCAAGCCCATCATTTCCCCCATCTGCAAGTGGCACCTTGTCCTCAAGGTGAAATTGAGGAAATTGAGTGCGAAGAACATCCCCATCTTCCCAAGTATTTTCACAATCCGGGTGATCTTTCCACTTGAGTAAATGTTGCAGTTTCCCATCCTATCCTTGATGGATGGCTTGGACTGATTCTAGCTGCATTTGTAACTCTAAATCTTCAGTTAATCCTTGAGGCAGAGGCTGCACTTCCACTGTAGCTTTGATGGCCCTCTTGAGTTGGGAAACATGGAAGACACTATGGATTCTGGCTGTTGCAGGTAGTTTCAGCCGGTAAGCAACCCTTCCTATCCTCTCCAATATCTTATAAGGACCATAATATCTTAGAGAAAGCTTTTCGTTTGGTTTCTTTGCCAATGACTGGTAGCAGTATGGCCTTAACTTAAGGTATACAGCCTCTCCCACTTCATACTGCACCTCCCTTCTATGCTTGTCAGCTTGATTATGCATTTGTGTTTGTGCTCGCTCAAGCTGGCTCTTTTGGTCATCCAAGATCAAATTCCTTCCTTGGATCTACTGGTCAACCTCATGCACCCTTCAAGACTGGTCTGCCCACTTCAACAAAGGAGGGGGTTCTTGCCCTTATAGTGCCTTGAAAGGAGTCATACCAATGGCACTGTGATAAGTGGTGCTATACCAATATTCAGCCCATGGCATTCTAACCCACTTCTTAG